CAGATGTTGGTCTTCTAGAAGCAGGTAGGCTTGGCCATCTGTCGGGAGCGGCCAAGAGGGGGGTGTCCAAGAGGAGGGGGTGCAAATCATGACCGGCGGCATGTGCGCGGCCCAGCGGGGGGGCCAGGGACGTAATGAAATAAGAAGAGGCGCCATGAAATCTGGGAAATATCATGGCCCACGCCATGATGTCCACCCCCCCCTAGTCATCACCCCCCTCTTTTCCGCCCCCGAATCTGGGGAAGAGGCCGAACACTCCAGCGGCGTTTGGACCTGCAACGGCAAGGTCTGAACGTGGCTGCCGTCGGAGGATGTGTTACTGCGCAAGCCTGTCCGTGTGCCTGCCTCTTCCTATCGGCCGCATGACGCCACTGAGCTGCCACGCAGAGGATGTGCCAAATTTTTTTTTTGTTGGGGGGGGGGGGGGAAACGGCCACCGCTGCTCCCCAGTCGTCTCCCCAGAGATGTTCAGACCCGAACTCCCAGGCGAACCCAGCCGTGGCGACGAGGGCCCCCGAGGCGCCTTCCACCCGAAGACGAGACCGGGAAATGCCGCCGGCATCGGTCGGTTCTGCCATTCTGCATCCTACCCTCTGCAGATGCCTCTGAACTCGGCTTCCCAAGCTCCCCCCGTGCATCGTCCAGACTGGCACCACGAGCCGTAAGCCCGAGAGCGGTGCGACCAGTGGGACTTGAAGGCCGCCCCGGCAGGAGAAGCAGGCAATCGATGTGGACGGAACGCCCGGCAATGGGGCCACATATGAGAGCCTGTACGCGACCAACTTCGCATTGCGGCACCGACGCACTGGTACTGTTGACCCAGTTTGGTCAAGTCCAATACCGCTACGTTGCGATCACGATGGCTCTCGAACTGTATGTAGGGAAACGAACTCTATATACACCGACGCCTTTTCCGACCCTGCGCTGAAACTCGCACAGGAACGCGGATCCTGGTGTATACGGGATCCTGGTGTATACATTTTTCGTTGTTTCCCTTGGAAAACGAGGGAAAAGTATACATCACATCACCCCGACGTCGTCCCTGACCCTTAAAAAGTCGTGGGATTGAAAAAACAGCCCACCACTGGTAATGTATATGTTCCAATTTGCGAATATGGTTACACGCTCGCGCCTGTGCGTGCGGTTTCTTGAGGCCGCAGGAGCCACTCAGGCAGCACGGGTGGCGCACGCGGCGTGCTTCAAGCAGAGCAGTGCCGTTCCTATTGTAGGCGGCGAGCGAGGGGGGGAAGTGAGAAGGGGCGGGCCTTCTCAGAAGGCTCGGAAGTCTCCAAGCCTTCTGAGAAGTTTCCCAAGCCTTCCCCGAAGACAGAGAAAATTTCTCGGAAGGCGCGAGGGCTTAGTCCCGCCGCCTTCTGAGAAGGCCTTCTCCTTCTCACTTCCCCCCCTGGCTCGCCGCCGATACTGGCTTGATTGCGTGCGCACCAGAAAAGCCAGACAGATCTACGGTTAGGTCGCGCGTGTCCTCCTAAAGGCGGATGTTGGAAACAAGAACGAGGAATAGTCAAACATCATCGAACACAGTAAACAAAGAATCGAAACATCGTCCCCAGACTATTTTCGTACCATTCTTGAAGGCCCCTCCTGTGGAAGGACAGGCCCGTCTCAAATCTACGGGCTTGGATCATATTTACATTCTTGGAGACAACCCCCAAATCAACGTCGACAAGGCGGGCCAGTCCAGCCTTTACTCCGGCCGCTGGGCTTCTCTTTTAGCACTGCTTCCTGCTGGATGTTCGTGAGTGCACACCCGGTCCTGAAGGGAGCAGGGAGGACGGGGAGGAGGAGGAGGGAGGAGGACGAGGGGAAACAAGGGGGAGCGGGAGGAGGATGGCGGCCAGAATGGGGGAGGGGGGGAAGGATAGAGGATAGAGCAGGGGTGCGAGGGAGGGGGTGGAAAGCGTCCCATCGAGCCCCCCCCCTCTCGACATTGCCCGCCCAGAAACTCGCCATCGCTCCGACGTGCATTCCTTGTGCATTTTTCTAATTCGTGCGTTTAGTTTTTCGCAAGATGATCCAAAATGCTCCTCGATGGTCCTCACCAAGAAAAGAAGCACACGTCCGAGCGATGTCAAGGAAAGCCCTCTCAGGAAGACTCCCTGCCCAGCTTTGCGGTTCGAAACTGGCCGTGGCCGCGGGGACGTGGGCCCACGAGGAGCAGGTGGGAGGAGGGGGAGGACAGGAAGGACGAGGAGGTGTTGGAGAAGGACGAGGTGGAGTAATGAGGATGGGGAAGGGGAAGGAGGAGGACGTAAAAAGATGTGGGGCAGGAGGAACAGGGAGGAGGAGGAGCGGGAGGAGGAGGAGGAGGAGGAAGAACCAGACGGCCAAGCAATGCGGAAGACGGGCGGCGCGTGGCGGACGGAGCCTTGCTCATCTTCTTCTTCACCCCAGGGTTGTGGAGGTCCTGCGGCCCGCCCAGGGGGGCAGGGGACTCGATGGCAGAAGGGGTGATAAGGGCGGTTGGGGGAGGGAACGCAACATGTAATTGTTCCAAGTCGCCTAACTTGCCGTCGCTCGGACGTCCATTTCCAGTGCATGTTTCGGCTTCGTGCGTGGCTCTTTCGCCAAATGATCAAGGATGCTCCTCGATGGCCCTCGCCGAAGGAAAAACGCACACGTCCGAGCAATGCCAAGCCAACTCTGCGCACGGCGCCTGGCGCCCCACGTCGCGCGAGTACCTTCTTCGCGCCCTCGCGCCATGCCCTGGAGAAGAGCACCTCTGAAGGGGCCCCAGGACACACAAATAAATACACACAAATAAAAATGTTCCCCATATTTTCCTATATTTTCTGGGTTTCTGTCTTCCCCCCCACTTCCCACATTTTCCCATATTTTCTGGGGAGTCGAGGATTCATTGTGTCTGTGTTTTTTCTCCTCTCCTGAACCTCCCGGGCCTGGGCCGCGGCGCGCGCAGCGCCACATCGCCCCCGCGCCCCCCCCGCGCAGCGTGGCGAGGCCCGCCACTCTCCCTCGTGGCGGGGGGGGGCGCCGGCGCGCGCGGGGGGCCTCGAGCAGGGCCAGGGCCTGAGCCCTGCGCCGGAGACCGAGGCGTCCCCTGGCAGGATGCGTGCCGATGCGCGGCCCTCCTCCTCCTCCTCCTCCTCCTCCTCCTCCTCCTCCTCCTCCTCCTCCTCCTCCTCCTCCGTCCTCCTCCTCCTCCTCCTCCCTCCTCCTCCCCCCCCCTCCTCCCCCTCCTCCCCCTCCTCCCCCTCCAGAGTTTCCAGCCATGACAGGATGCGTGCTGCTAGCACGGCCCTTTGTGGGGCCTCTTCGGCACATGGCTGCGGAGGTGGGGAAGGGCTGCTGTAAACCCTTCTCTCCCGCCTGTGCTGAACTGTGTATGCAACTATCTAGCCAGAGACTGTATGCGACCATATTGTCTGGGGGGCAATTTTTCGCCACGGATCTGTTGTTGGTGGTCCCGTGGCCCAAAAGCGGCCCCTGCAGGCCGACATGCAGGAACACCGCCCACGTTGAACAAACATATCGTCGGGAGTGGTCCTTACTTCAGCATCTTGACTATCACAGCGGAAGGAGGAGATATGAAGAGTTGGCAGCGTGCTGTGGGACGGCAAGGGAGGGACAGGGCACGGAACGGTGGCGTCCCAGTGCGTGAAGCGAGGAGACACTGGGGTGTCGCATCGCTCACTTGCCAGGCAAAGTGCGCAGTCGAGCTGCGCTGCACCTGTGCGCGACGCTCATCAGACCGCAAATGAATGTACAGCAACAAGTCGTTGTGCTCCTTCTACACTGCTGCTGCTGCTGCTGCTGATGCTGCTGCTGCTGCTGCTTCTACTACTAGAACTGATGCTCTCGCTCATAGCCGTAGAAATGAATACAACTGCAAGGACGACGACGACACCGTCAAAGTCCTCTCTCTGCGTGGTTGCTGGCCGGGCTCCGTGGGTGCCGACCACTGCGGCGTTTAGGCCGTCGCGGGTTTTCTGTCGATTGTCGTTTTGGGGGATGTTGACGGCGGGGGGGTCGGGGCACAGCGTTTCCCACCGAACGCCGCTGGGGTTGCTACAAATGTCTAGTAGCCGACGTGCTCTGTGGGGCCACTCCAGAGTTAGTATGTTCCACCAACCAGCGCGCACGACTACGACTACGATGACGACGACGACTACTACTACTACGACTACTACTACGACTACTACTACGACTACTACTACTACGACTACGACTACGACTACGACTACGACTACTACTACTACTACTACTACTACTGCTGCTGCTGCTGCTGCTACTACAACTACTACGACGACGACTACGACTACTACTACCACTGCTACTACGACTACTACGACTACTACGACTACGACGACGACGAAAAGGACGACGACTACTACTACTACTACTACTACTGCTACTGCTACTGCTACTGCTACTGCTACTGCTACTGCTACTGCTACTGCTACTACTACTACTACTACTACTACTACTACTACTACTACTACTACTACTCTACTACTACTACTACTACTACTACTACTACTAATACTACTACCTACTACTACTACTACTACTACTACTACTACTACTACGACTACTACTCTACTACTACTACTACTACTGCTACTACTACTACTACGACGACGACTAAGACTACGAACGACGACTACTACTACTACTACTACTACTACTACTAACTACTACTACTACGACTACGAACTACGACTACGACTACGACTACGACTACGACTACTACTACTACTGACTACTACTACTACTACTACTACTACTACTACTACTACTACTACTACTACTACTACTACTACTACTACTACTACTACTACTACGACTACTACTACTACTACTACTACTACTACTACTACTACTACTACTACTACTACTACTACTACTACTACTACTACTACTACTACTACTACTACTACTACTACTGCTACTACAACTACCACTACTACTATCAATACTCTTACTACTACTACGGCTACTACTACTACTACTAGTAGTTCTAC